GCTTTGTTAGACCTTCATTTAGTTTATTGTACAAATTCAAGTTGGGAGAGTTGGAAGAAGATATTTTTAGTCTGAACCTGTTTGGCCTCCCCTGACTATTATTTCGGGTGATATGGTTGTGTAAGTCTGAGTTCAACTTTATAATTTCCCCTATTTCTGTGCAATTCAATGAGGGTTTGATATATATAGATGCAAGAAAATGGCATTATTCGATTTTTGATGAAAAGTACCTCCAATTATTCTCAATGCCGTTTTTTGCAACTTGAATACTCTTGTTGCCTGACTAGAATTTTCCCATAAAATGGTACCACAGCTTATATGCGAATGGTAGAGGGAGTGGTATGTAGTCAATAGCACATCTTTGTTCACAATATTTTTCAGTTTACGCAGCAAAAATAGTTGGCTAGACAGTTTATTGCATAGATGGTTTACGTGGCTATTCCACTTTAATTCATCATCGAGAGTTATCTCCAGAAGTTTAGCAGTGGATACATTCGAAATGTTTTTATTAGAGGAGAATATGATATGCTGGGTCTTATCATTGTCCATTTTGAGTTTATTTTTCGTAAACCACAGTTCTACTCTAGAGGCAGTAGTCGCCATAAGTGCATTGAGTACAAGTCCACTATAATGCGAATTTATTAATGAAGTGTCGTCAGCAAATGCAATACACATATCCGGAAACAAGTAATGAAATATTATCATTGACATAAATGGTGAACAACAATGGCCTAAGTACGGATCACTGTGGCACCCCATGATCAGTACGAGCCCGTAGCGAAGTAGTTCCGTTGAAAGAAACCACTTGTTGACGGTTGGTTAAACAGGACTTTACGAGATTCAGTGGGGTTTCTCTTACCCCATATAGTGCTCGAGCTCCTGGTTATCTCTTTCACACGCAATATGTATTGCCCTAAATGGTCCGAGATGCAGAGGTCTATCACTCCGGCATCTATCACGTCAAAGGTGAGAGCCGTCAGGATATTGTCTATGCAACTAGATGAATTGGAAAATATCCTAATAGCATCTGAAATATCAATTTTGAGATCGTAGGAATTTATGACTTCATTCCAAATTTGAGAGTGCAAAGATTCTTTATTCAAGTTTATATTGCAATCTCCTGTCACAACTATGTTA